AACAAAGAGTGAAAAATTTAAGGGGGTCTGAATACTTTCCGTACCCACTGTATATACATCTTCATCATGACTAGATAGACACGGTGAGTTTGTCTTTACTTTACACGTTAGATGTGATCCACCTCATAGTAACAATCCTGTCAGATTGTCCATTCTTTGAGTGAGAGTATAACGTTACAGGTCGGCCGATCTGGTTTCGTGGTTAAAGTAAACCTTTTTGACATGTTTCCGCAATATTGTCTGGGGTTTGGCAAAAGGCGATGACTGTGTAGTTCTGACGTCAACTTTTTACGGAAGTCACAACGGTTCGTGAAAAATCACAGCTACTTTAAGCAGGCTGTGTGAATTTTACTGGGGACTGACTGTTTTGAAACTTATACAGTAGTTACATAGCACCTAGACCTCAGTTATCATGAAAAAAGCCAGGAAATTTCAGTTTTGACAATATGGGACCTTTACGTTTTCAATACCAAAGTTAATTTGACTTAATATGGCTTATTTTCTTAGTTCAACCAAATAAATCATCTATTTATTTAAATTGGAAATAATTATTTTATTTCAAATGTTTCAGTTATGTTTTTATCGACAACTTTTTAATTCCCATTAAAATTCATTTCTAAACTCAAAAAAATAATTCAGTGGATTTGTAAATGTCAATAATAAATAACTATGCTACCTTAATACAATCTCGGAGTCAATGCAAAAAGATACCTCAAAAAATTAAGTTAATTAAGTTAAATGAACATAAACTTTGGTACTGAAAACTTCATCTTACTTTCATAAAGTTATTCCACTTAAACTTTATAAGTTCAAATAACTAAACTTGTCAAGTTGAATAATCTAAGTAAATTCAATTTAACTTTGATTTATCTATTTTTTAATAACGCAGTTGAGTGAACAAAAAATAAATAAATAAATACAGTGAACTTTGGTACTGAAAACTTAAAGTACACAGGTTCACCTTATTTTCATAAATATATTTCAAATAAACTTTATAAGCTCAAAGAACTTTAAATGTGTTGAGTCAGTGCAAACAAGAAAGAAAGAAAACTTAAAAAGTGAAATTGTGAACCGTTTTTTACCCTCTTTTTCTTCTTTCCTTTCCTTTCCTTGTTTCTACAGTAAGTTACCCGTTAGGACTTTTAGTACAATGAAGTAAAAAAATGTTTGATTGAATTGATTCTCTGTCATATTCGCTGTGTTCTTTGTAAATATATTCTGGTATGTTAAACAAAGTCTCATTGCACAGGGTGGGTGTCTGACGCTAAAAACTGCAATGATACAGAAAATGCTGCAGCTTATGACGCACTTTTTGAACATCTTGGCTTGGACAAGAATGACAATCAAAAGCGGCCCTTGTATTATGGGGATGCTACCCGTGTTTTTGTGGAACTATATGTGACCTCTATCATAGATGTGGTGAGTTCAACATGATTTACCTTCTCATTCGGGTCATTATGGAATATCAAACAGTAGTTTCATCAACACTCTTTTTTTAATTAATTAATTATTTATTTTTATCTACAGAATGAAAAAGCCCAAAGCCTCACGATACAGGTCAAAATGATAACTGTAAGTCTTTTAAAACACTATTTCACTTTTATTTCACAAAGTTTGAATCATTTTACAAAACTTCATGCGTTATAAGAGTTCATATTTGATTTTTAAGCATCTTGTTCTTGTAATCACTGTGAACTTATAACTTTGCAGGCTTGGATAAATATAAAGATGGATTGGAACAGCCATGAATTTTGTGGAATGAATACATTTTCAGCCCGGAAAGACATGGTTTGGACTCCAGACATTGTTATAGCAGAAAGGTATACAAATGACTTTGACAAAACTTGTTGTTTTATTTTAGGCATTTTTTTGCCACTTTTTTTTAACAATCACTAGGGCTTATTTCTCAATAATTGGGTGAGCACAGTGAACACAACAGCAGTCTTAAGGGTTAAACTGTGAATAATTTTTCATTGCTTTGGCACAAAATACATTCAATCACTACCTCTTTGAAATTAAATGATTACAGGCCAATTTGCACATATTCACATACTTTTTCCAAAAACTGTTAAACTTAGGCTGAACCCCTAAAAGGAAACCCTGCAAAACTGAATAAGACAGCAATTCTGAATAAGCAACAGTTCTGCAGTAATACCATATTGCAAATCTAAAAGATGAATTACTATAAAAACAACTTGATGTAGCCAAACCCCTGCACAGCTGTTAGTCTCTCAAAATGCATTACATTACTGTAATGTAAACATGGACCATGTATGCAACATATATTGCAGTGAATTCTAATAGTGGAGAGATTACATTATACAGAAGAAAACACTAACATTGAAGAAAACACTGTATAATGTTACATGTTGTTAGTGTATAACGTAACCTTGTCATTCAGGGGATTGTTTTATGAGTGACAGTGTGTTTGTTGGGTGAAAACTTTTGCTTGTGTTATGGAAGAATGAATTGATTAGATACATGTATGAAGTTATGTTTAGTGCATTTTAAATGTGACAATTACTGCTGTGCCTAGCTAAAAGTGAGTAAGTAACTGTGAAGATTTTTGAAAAAGTGACCTAAGTATTGAGGGGTACTAATGATTGTAAAACAAATTAATAAATAATAGTAATAATAATATGATAAACAAGATTTTATTTATAAAACTTTATGAACATTTATCTGTTATTCTTGTCACACTGACAACTGTTTCAGTGTATTTAAATGCTTGAAATGACTGCAATTATTAAAAATGTAAAAGCATTATACCATGTTTCTGAATGTTATTAATGAAGTTATGTCACATATATAATGGAAGTGCTTATATAATGTAATAGAGTAGGCCATTTAGTAGGCCAAAACCCAGAAATGAGTTAGCATTTTAGCACATTGGTTGACGGTTGCTAGAGTGGCTAAATGGGACTACAAAGTTTGACATTAACCATTATCACACTGAACAGAAAAGCTCTCGCTTTCACAGTCTCGTGTTTATAATTGTGCTCTTGCAAACTGTTCTAACTGTGTCAAAGACACATCCTAGGATGTGCTGGGACACATCTTCAGTAATGTGTCTAAGGTCATCGGGTGTTTTGGGTCTTTCAACATCATACACCCT